GTTTGCACAAATGTTTTGGTTAGTAGTCAGTTGTTTTCGTTATTGTTTTGGTGATCAGTAATTAGTCAGTCATTTTGGTTAGAGGTCAGTTGTTTAGTTTAACAGGCAGATGTTCTGGTCAGTGATCACTTGTTTCTGTCTGACTGTAGTTGTGGTTCATTGTGAGTCTGTTACTGACGACTATGAAAACAGCCGTCAGGTCCAGAGTCCAGCTGTTACTGTGTGTGTGTGTGTGTGTGTGTGTGTGTGTGTGTGTGTGTGTGTGTGTGTGTGTGTCCATCTGTTCACCCTCACACTGAAATACAAACACTGTCTTTCTGTCGTCATTCAGCAGGATAATGACAGGTGATAATACCACCTGTGTGTGTGTGTGTGTGTGTGTGTGTGTTCTCTCTTCTTCTTTCCCTTAAATTCTTTCCTTAAGGGACCTTACCTCCAAAGTTTGAACTCTTCTGTATAAATATTAGCTGACAACACATAAATCATAAATAAGTTATTATAATGATAATAATTATAGTCATAAATCAAACTACCAACTGTATGTACATTTGAATTTGAATATAATTCACTGACTGAACCAGACTGAACCTGTAAGGATCAGACCGCTGCATTCAGTCCACCAGTTTCTCACAGTCTGTCTTTTCTTACCTGTGCACCTGGTTTTCCGGTGAAGTATCAACCTACTGCAGGTCATGGCAGGACCCCAAGAGTCTCTCGTTGTTCCAATCAGCCTCTCAGCCAATCACGTACCAGCATATCTACCTGCTACATCATAATTGGCTGTGAAAAGGTGACCTGACCTCATTGTGTTTCTCCTGCAGGTCCCGTGTCTTCTCGTGGAGTATGGCTGGTCAGCGTTAAGCTAGGTTGCAGTGATCAGGAGGTCTGAGGTGAGACGAGGGATCATGGGAGATGGAGGACCTCTGCAGACTGAGGGGAACGCCCTCCTCAAAGCCGTCTTCCAGGGGAAGCTGAGGCTGACCCGCCTGCTGCTGGAGGGCGGCGCCTACATCAATGAGGGTAACGAGCGCGGAGAGACCCCCATTTCCGCTGCCTGCTTGGCGAACTACGATGACCCGCAGGCCCGGCAAAGGATGGTTCGGTACCTGCTGGAGAAAGGGGCGGACCCGAACATCCCCGATAAGAGCGGGAGGACGGCGCTGATGCACGCCTGCGCTGAGCAGGCGGGGAAGGAGGTGGTGTCACTACTGCTCGAGAACGGAGCTGATCCCAGCCTCAGAGACTACTCTGGTTCCTCTGCGCTCGTCCACGCTATCAACAAGGGCGACCGCGACACCCTACAGGTCCTGCTGGACGCCTGCAAGGCCAAAGGCAAGGAGGTGATCATAATCACCACTGATACATCTCCATCAGGCACCAAGAAGACCAAACAGTACCTCAACTCTCCCCCCTCCCCAGGCATTGTGGACAAGTTGTCTCCAGCCTGCATGTCTCCCTCTGAGGTGGAGATCGGCACCTCCTCGCCTGCAGGAGATAAAAGCGATGAGGGGATCTTCAGCTTCGCCCTCACCTCAGCTTTACCTTTACCTTCAGCTCGACCTCCAGGTGAGAAGAGGCCGCCACCTCGCAAGCTGCTGAAGAGGCTGAACTCGGAGCCCTGGGGCCTGGTGGCGCCCTCGGTGCTGGTTCCTCAGGATCGGGTGGATGGAGGTCTGGAGGAAGAGGGCGGCTGTGATCTCAGCAGGACGATCACTGAGCTCAACGGCCTGTCCATCACAGAACCGGTCAGACCTTTGCTGTCACGGCGACACAGCATCGAGACCCACGACCCCTGTTCCCCCAAACTCATCGACCGGTCCTGCTCCGAGGACTGCGCAGCACTCTCTGGATCCTGGGCCGACAAAGTCCAACAGCACCAGATCCTTTACCGCAGGAACACGGCCCCGGAGTCCCAGGAGAATGCCGGAGGACCTGGGGCAGTTGCGGCCCGTGCCCTGGCTCACCCCAAACTGACTCGGATGGAGCACTACGAGTCGGACACCCATCTCTGCCCAGAGTCCATCCCTGGATCTCCAGACTCTGGTCGGGTGTCTGTGGAGCGAAGGAGGTACAACGCCTCGCCCCTGTCCCTGGTCACGAGCTCCTCCAGAGAGTCTCTTGAGAACATCCCCAACTCGGTGTCCCCTATGACCATGCGCCGGCGTCCGCCTGGGCTCCTGGAGCGCCGGGGCTCCGGAACTCTCTTGCTGGACCACATTTCCCACACCAGGCCCGGCTTCCTGCCTCCACTCAACATCAACCCCCAGAGACCCATCCCCGACATCCGGGCCAATGGTAAGCCCACCTCCCCAGTCCACTCTGGACACAAGATCCTGGTTCCGGTGGCCCCGGCCTCGCCCAAACGGGGCCCGGACTTCAAGATGAAGAAGAAGCTGATGAGGAGACACTCGATGCAGACGGAGCAGATGAAACAGCTCTCCACCTTCCAGGAGATCCTTGCTGAGAAGGTCATCGAGTCCAATGGGGATTGATGACAGGAGGCGCCAGAGCAAGGCATGATGGGTAGCTGCAGAGACTTGTTACTGTGAAGCTTCTGCATCTGATCAGCACCTCACTGACGAACTCTGTGACACTTCCTGGTCTTTATGGAGGGCTGCACCAACAAGGATTTTATTAAACTGAGAGAAGTGTTCAGTCAGAGTTTAATTAAACTAGATTTAAACCTGAGCCTCAATTTAAACAGTAATCTCTGGTTCTGAGGTTAAGAATAGTTTTAATAAAGAAGAAACTGCAGCGAACAGAAAGGAAATCTTAATCAAAGTACTCTGGACATCCTGAAGATCTTCTAGATTATTGACAATCAAAACTTATCTAACTTGATCTAAGAGGTGGGGTCTCGTTACACCTGTTTTAGCCTCTTTAGACCAGCTACCTGTTCATGTTTGAATCTAGGATTTTATTGCGGACATTTACTGCATTGCATTTGCCAAGCTCCATGCTGCATCACCAAACTTGAGCAATGTCCTCTGGGCTTACCCAGACCTAGACCCAGACCACCAAGTCTTTTCTGTTCAGGTCCTGAGACTCTGGAAGAGAGGATCCACTCAGCTGAGTCTGAATCCTCTTTTAAATCACTTCACTTTAAATCTCACTTTGACTGAAGTTTAGAACTGAGTTAATTTGCCCAGTTGCCTCCGATTCACCTCCAACGTCCTCAGATCTGGACCAACCACAAACTAAACTAGACTACGACCCCAAAACAAAACCATCAACCTGCAGCTAAAAACTAAAAGCAAAAATAAAAAAATTATTTCACAGCTCAGTAACACCAGCAGCTGCAGCTACCGTCACCGTGTTTAAACCAGTTTAGTTTTAACTCTGGACGATGAAGATCAGGAGATGTGGTTGAAAGTTTCGAAGAAAGTGAAGATATTTTGTTTTCAGACTGAAGACTTTAATAAGTTAGCGGACAGCGACACCTGCTGGACAAAAACATTGACGTAGAAAGTGAAATGTGAATAAATAAATATACAAAAGAGCAACAGGCAGTAAGATTAAATAAACTGCAGCATGTAATTAAAGGTCAGCTGACTAAAGGACTAATCGAAGGTTTCGGTTTAATAAGTTTAATAAAATCTTTGCCGCAGTTACTGAACTGTGAACGTGTCCAGTCCAGGTGTTGGTCGGATGAGAAGAGCGATCACTGTGGGCTGTAGGAAATTAAAATGAGCTGTTTCCTGTCTCCTCACATTTAACAAACAATAAATCTATAGAAGATAATCAGTGGATTAACTGATTCTTTTGGGATGCAATGTGATATACATGGTGTTAATTAATCACTGCATCAGCTGAAAACATGTTACTGTACCTGTTTGAAACCTCGAGTAGAATAATAAGAGGTTTGTATCTGGATGTGTGGAAGCAAGTGACGTGTTGTCGGTGCAGCTCTCCTCAGTTTCCTCTGCTGAACCACAGGAAGCCTCTGGGTCAAAGTCAGTTTACAGTCCTGATGCTTCCTCCTCATTCATCAACTTCAATCAAAAACTGATGAGACTATAAAAATGATCAGACTTGTTTGATGTTTACAGATGCACTATTTGCACTGAGGTCGTGTCCATGTTCCTGCTGGTGACGGATGAAAACATGAACCTTGTTCTGGAGCTGAAGAGTCTGAAGGTCGGCTCCGAAAACAAACTCTCATCTTTTCATGAATGAATCCAACCTATTTATTTTCATGACCTACTGCGCTGTATGTACTGTAATTATCTACACACTAGTCAATATTATAGTTGGTATTTCTGTGTAAAAGAATTGTCTTTATTTTACAGTTCAGAGGGATGTTTGAACCGCGTCTCAGTGACGACGACACTGAGGCGATAATTGATCTAATTTGTGTTGAGATGAAGTGAAATGAAGTTTGAATTTATTGTTTAAGAAATTCCAAAGAAGTTCGTGGGCGATCTGAACCAAAACCTGCTGAGACTGTAAATACTGTAAAGATCCATCTGTGCAACAGCCTGTAAGGTCAACCCTGAAGCACTTCGTCCGATTCTACACCAGGGGGCGCTGGAGGGCGGTTAAAGGAACAGTCGTCTCCAGAGTCAGAGTCCGGCACAGAGACAGAGACTGTTCACATCAGTCCTCTGGAAAACTAAACACTGACAGAGCTAACAGCTAACAGAGCTAACAGCTAACACCTAACAGAGCTAACAGCTAACAGAGCTAACAGCTAACAGAGCTAACAGCTAACACCTAACAGAGCTAACAGAGCTAACAGCTAACAGAGCAGGCTGTATCTTCAAACAGAGACAGGTTAGCAGTCTGTGTCTGTCTGTTCTCTTCTTTTAATCATTCAGTCAACTCAAACACATCATCCCTGTGGTTGCCGTGGTTTCACAGTGAGCGGGTCGCCTGATTGGACAGTTTTACTTGTTCTTTAACTTGACATTGGTCGTTACAATTTGAGCTTCTTTTTTAACGTTATGACAAAACGTTTGGTTTTGTTGCCGAGGTTTAAAGTGTGAGGAGGAGCAGCGGGGAGGTGAATGGGACAGGTGTGTACAGGTGATCTAAAAACTACAGGAAGTTAGTGATTGTAGTTCGGCTGCTGATCAACATCTGTAGTAGAAATGTAGGTAGGCTACTTTAAAACCCTTAGCGCCTGATTACAGAAATCTGTCTCATAACTCAGAGTCAGACCTGAACCACATGTTGATCTGATCCAGTGTGACCTCACTTCCTGATGATGTCATTATTTCTCATGTCCCTCCACAATAAAGCTCCAGAGAAACTTCAGAGTTTCCTGTTTTTAAGTTTCCTTCAGTATCACAGTAAAACAGTGAGAGTTGTCCAAACATCATGATACACTGCAGACAGGAAGTGATCACAGCTGATCACAGCTGCTGCTAATGGGACAGTTTGACGACATGACATGGAGGCAGATCAGGGTAAATGGAAATGAGACTCAAGCTGTGACTCCATGGCAACTTTAAACTTCCTGTTTGTTGATATCTGTTCATGTCAGTGAAGACGTTTAGAAAAAAGAATTGAACCGTTCTGATATAGCAGCTCATATTCTCTCTTTGTATATAGATGGACATAAAACACATCCTAAATGAAAATTAAAAAACTGGTCCGTGTGTACGATGACCAGGGACCGTCAGTCACACACTGAGTTGAAAGAGTTGAACCACTAACTGTGAACACAGCAGCAGAGACCTGTGTGACCTGGAGACCGGCAGCCGTCTGACTCTGGAGACAACAGATTTACAGAAATGTTAAAACGTTCCTTTAAATTTATATGAAGGTTAATAAAAAAAAAACAGAAGCTCCAGGACCTCTTCCTGAGGGACTCCACATGGTCCTGAAAGAGACTCAGATTCTCTGAGACCTGTGGATGAAGTTTGACTGAGCTCCTGAAGTTCTGCCAGAATCTAAAGTGAACGTGAAGTTTCAGCCTGATACTTCACAACTGAACTTTCATCAGTCAGAAGATTCGGGAATAATTTCATCCTGATAAAACTGAGCTCTGTCGAGTCTGTTCCCCTGTCTGATCTGGACTGGATCAGACTGGATCAAACTGGTTTACATGGGCACAGACTGGTTTAAAGTAAAGCTGGTTTAAACAGGATCTGATTCTGGGTCATACTGGTTTAAACTGGTTTAATGTGGATCAGACTGGTTTAACCTGTCTTAAACTGGATCAGACTGGTTTAATCAGACTCAAACTGGTTTAAACTGGACCAGAACTGGGTCAGACTTAACTGGAGACTTGTTTAGACTGAATAAGACTGGCACAGAGTGTTTTAGACTGGTGTGAACTAGATCAGACTGGTTTAATCTGGTTTAAACTGGATCACACTTTGGCTCAGACTGGTTTAATCTGTTTTAAACTGGATCAGACCTGTTTAATTAGGCTCAAACTGGTTTAAACTGGACCTGAACTGGGTCAGACTTAACTGGAGACTTGTTTAGACTGAATAAGACTGGCACAGAGTGTTTTAGACTGGTGTGAACTAGATCAGACTGGTTTAATCTGGTTTAAACTGGATGAGACTCAGGCTCAGACTGGTTTAGACTTGTCCAGACTGGTTTAAAGTGGTCCAGACTGGTTGCAACTGGACCTTGTTGTTGTTGTTGGTAGATACTTGAAGTTTAAACTGAAATATTTTTGTAAGCCTGTCAGCTGATAGAAACGTCTCTAATGAATCTGTGATCTATTTTTCTTCCTTCACTTTGATTGTAACTCAAACTGTGGAATAAAAACATTTCATGTTCAACACCTGTAACTTCCACCAGGGTTGGGGGGGGTGGTCTGATTTATTGATTTTACAGTACAGGGTTAGCATTAGCTTCAGCTGCTTTTATACAACATAATTTGTTAGAACGTGTTGGATATCAGAGGAAAATGACTTTATGCAGGATTGATAATCTGTTAGTGTGACCGTGGAGAGCAGAATATAACTTCAGAAGAAACTGGAAAGAACCAGTGAATGATTTGGTAAAAATCACTTGTGAATATAAATGTACAACGTGACGTTTGTTTTACAGCTCAGAGACGACCCACTGATGAGCTCTGATATGAGACGTCATAAACTGCTTCTTATCTGGTTCAAACACATTAACATCTCAGCGACCTTCAGCTCTGATCAAACAAACACCTTTAAACCACCTGTGGTCCAGATCACGTCTCATTCACACTGAAGGGGTCAGTTCTTCTAAATCCATCCATTCATACACATTTGATGATGTCATGCTGAGATGGACTTCTGTTTCTGACTTTTACAGACCAATCAATAAATCAATTAATCAAGAAACTCATTGATTCATCAAACAATATTTAACAAGTCAGTTTTATAAAGTGAATCATAAAGTCTTTACAGATCGTGGAGATCTCAACCAACCAACCAATCAACTAGACAACCAACCAACCAACCAACCAATCAACCAACTAACCAATCAACTACTCAACCAACCAACCAACCAACCAACCAACCAACCAATCAATCAACTAGACAACCAACCAACCAACCAACTAACCAACCAACTAATCAACCAAACAACCAACTAACCAACCAACCAACCAACCAACTAATCAACCAAACAACCAACCAATCAACCAAACAAGCAACCAATCAATCAACTAATTAATTAACCAACCAATCAACTACTCAACCAACCAACTCATCAATCAACCAACCAACCAATGAGCTGTCAACACTTCACACTGAAATTCGGAAACAACGTTTGAAAACTTTCAGATATTTATTGAAGTAAAAACAGATTTTACCAGGAGAAAAAAAGAAAAGAGAGAAAACAGAAACAGACAGCAAATATTTACAGTTATTGATCAGCCAGCTGTTATTGATCAGTGGGTATCAGACCAGCTCACATTGCATTCTGGTTAATTTTCTGGGATGAAGTTAAACTTTGAGGTGAAAGTACAAACAGATCCAGACTGATAAATGATATCCACCTGATCAATACTGATCAGTTCAGTGGCCTCAAAGGACCTTCAAAATAAAACTGACTTCAGACATTATCATCATTATCATATAGATATGAACGATGTCCCACTCTTTACATTTTTTAGTGCTCCAGTTTTAGAGTTAGGCGCAGAGATAGGACTGATAAAGATCTATTTAGATTCTAGAGTGAGACAGGAGTGAGGAAAGATGCTCCACTCTGCACTTTATGTAGGATACAAAAACATTGTAATGAGATGTTAAAACAGAGATTTTAGTTGTAAAAAATAAAAACAAGTTGTTGTAAGTTTGATATAGGATGACTCTGAGCTGAGACAAAAAAACTGAGATGTCCCACTCTGTCAAAGTTCCAGTGAGATATAAAAAGGGGAGTGAAGGACACATGATGGGAAGTTAGTGGCAGAGACACAGTCTGTTTATCGTCTGATATAGAAACAGATCATGTAGTGAGACATCAAGACAGAGATAGGAGTGTGAACAGGACATCCCACTCTGTTTAAATTCTAGTGAGATATAAAGTAGGTCAATAAAGTGCTAAAAGTGAGTTTCAGCAATAAGTGTGTGAGGAAGATGCTTCACTCTACAGTGAGATTCACGACTGACTCATGATTATTGATCCGTATCGATCTCTGATTGTAAAAATGTGACTAACATTCATGGGAAAAATTATAAAGATTATCTGATTATAAACAGAGATAGGAGTGTAGAGATGGACGCCTCAGTCTGTTGTATATAGTGACATATAAAAATGATGTAGTGAGACAGACAAAGATAGAAATACACGGTGAGAGTGTCACTCGGTTCATTTCTTGAAGAACTTCTTGTTGAGCAGGAAGATGAGCAGGTTGACGTTGATCTTCGCTTTATCGAACATCTTCATCACGGCCACGCCCTCATACTGCAGCTGCAGCAGGTCCTGCAACACACACACACACACACACGTTAAAACACATATAAGGCACAACATAAATCAAACAGAGTTCAGGTCCAAAATTTAACCCCAGTATCAAGCAGCAGGTAACCATAGCAACAGAACACTGGGTTAAACTGATTACAAATAGTGCTAGTTGACTCGGTCTATGGCCTGGTTTGGCTCAGTATTTATCCCGGGTTGTACCTGGTATTTGAGCAGGAACTCTTCCATCTCGACACCAAGGAATCGAGTTTTAACTTTGAAGCTTCCTCTCTCGGGTCCAGGAACAATGTCAAACACCACGTTCTTAAACCTGGAACAGTAAAACGTTTAGCGTTACTTACGTTGGTTTCTAATGTTAAAATGTGTGACGTTAAATAATGCAGTATTTGTTTATAATATCGACGTATGTGCTGTTACACGTTTTATATGAAGCATCTTGCAGGTGGTGACCGGATGTTGAACCTTTTGTTGTTGATGGTGTTTGTGGTGTTACATCGTGCTGAGACGTTGTCACATGTTATAACACCATAAACAACATTCTGTCTCAGTGCGTGTGTGTGTGTGTGTGTGTGTGTGTGTGTGTGTGTGTGTGTGTGTGTGTGTGTGTTCTCACTGTGTCGGGGGCAGGTCTTCGATCTCTAACAGAACTCCTTTCTCCTGCAGCCGGGCAGCGCTGTAACTCAGAGCAGGAAGCTTCTTCTTTCCTTTGCTCTCTGCTGCCTTCTTATTGGTCGATTTACTGCAACACACAACCAATCACAGTGAGTCGGTGTTTCAATCTCCTGTGAAGTCAAACAGCCAGTGAGAGTGGGATGTTCCACCTGTACCTGTTGGCAGTCAGGTTGTCCAGACAGGAAGTGATGTAATGTCTGTAGAAGTCCACCTGTTCACTGTGGAAGCTGCTCTTTACCTGCAGACTGCTGAGGGTCTGACGAAGCTTTACAAGCTCCGCCCCCCGACGCTGACGGTGCAGACGCTGCTGACGGATGTCCTGGGGGGGGGGAGATACAGTTAAAAGCTCAAGAACAAGTGAGGAAGTGGATCTGGATCAATACAATGATATAGATATGTAGGTTTTGAAAGAATCAGCTGACAGAAGTGTGTGTGTGTGTGTGTGTGTGTGTGTGTGTTAGTTCAAACCCGTCGTTGTGAATGCTTTACGTGTGTGTTGTGTCACCTTGGCGATCATCTGCAGGATCTGGTTTTCGGTCTGAGGTGACCTCAGGACTCCGAGTCCCTCCAGACGACGAAGACACCTCAGGATCTTCCTCTTCTTCTCCTCCAAACTCAGGTTGCTGTTGGCAACCAGCGACTGGTTCCTCTTCATCTTCTCAGGTGTCAGAGCGTCCTGCCGAGCACGCCGCTGCATCAGCCAATCGTGACACACTTCCTGTGTGAACAGAGCAGAAGAAGAAGAGATGACGGAGGAGCTGAGGTTAAAGACAGGTGTACCTGTATCACCTGTGTGCGCTCCGTCTCTGTGAGGACCAGACACCTGGACTGACTCAGAGTTCAGAGAGACTGGTTTCAGTTCAGCTCAGTGTGTGTGTGTGTGTGTGTGTGTGTGTGTGAGAGAGACCTGGTCATGTGAGGGGGATGTCCTCAGGATGTCCCTCAGAGAGTCACCTGGTTGAGTCCTGATGACGTCGATGATCAGCTGCTTCGTGCTGAAGAGAAAAAAAAATTAAAAAGTAAACATGTTTAGTTTGAATAAAAGGACGAATGACAGAGTGAATTTACCTGAGCAGGTGAAGCTAACGGGCTAACATGCTACTTTACCTGAGCAGCAGTCCTCTGGCGTCTGGTTTGTCATCGGTCTCGCTGAAGATGTCGAACTTGCTGGTGAGAGTCAGAGAAACCTCCATCTTACAGCTCTGAGACTCTGATCCTGGATCTGCTGAGGATGACGATGATGAAGACTCTCCTGCAGAACACACACATAGACCAGGACTCATTCAGACCCCGATGGCTCAGCCTCCACCCGTCAACAGAAACACACCGTCAGACTCCAGGTGGAGGTTTGTGGAGAGCTTTTCTCCTCGCTGCCTCATGGTGGCGCTCTGACTGACTGCAGCTGCTTCATGACCTGTCTCTTTGTTTTTCTAATGCTGACACTGGGACCTGATTCAACCCGGGTCCAAAGTCTGCTCAGTCTAGCCGAGTCTGGTCTGGTCTCTGTGTCAACAGTGTCAAAAGTGGCATCAGGTGAGAACTGTCTGTGAACGCACCGTGAGGGCAGCAGCAGTGTTAGTAATAAAGCAGTAGTTGTCGTACCGATGAGTTCCTGCAGGGTGGGAACTGATCCCAGGTCCTTCAGCAGCAGTCTGAGCGGGTTGGCAGAGTCCGGACACAAAACCTCCTGATGCTCCAGCAGCAGCTGAACACACAGAGACACAGACAGACAGTGAATCCAGGTCCAGAACCAGGTCCAGAACCAGGTCCAGATCCAGGTTTAGGTGTTGTGTTTTCTGACCTTGTGCGTGTTGAGCAGCTCGCTGACAGAGATGTAGATGACGGGTTTGTTGACGATGAGCAGCTCTGAGTATTCATCCATACTGAACCTGTCCTCCGGTTCAGGAACATCACACACGCTCAACAGGAACTTCCTGTTGGACACAAAGAACCGTGACAGAGAACGTTCTCTGATCATTAAATCACTGACACAAACTCAGCATTATGTTTATTGGATATTTTACCGATGGAAATTTGTAGTGTGTTGTTGGGTGAAACTGGCCTCGAGAACAGGAAGCAGAATAGTGTTACGGCTTTGGAAATCAAAAGAGCGAATCAGTTTTAATGAATGGAGAGATGAACTGGAGAGGATGGCTTCCTCTGAGCAAAGACACCTGATGTTCACGTATCGCATCCCTTTTCCAACCATACAACGGTCTCTGCTCGATGACGAACATGAAGTGTAACTTGGCACACACCACACACTGAAGAGTGTGCACGTTATCTTCTTATTTTATTTTATCTATTTAGCTTTTACTTATGTTTCCTCTGTTTGTCGGATGTGCAGATGTTTATGACTTTAATGTGTTTGTAACCTGAAAAAACAAAGAACCATCAGGAGACACCTCCTGAGGTCTTCACTCGTGACTCCAGGACGCCGGTGGTTTGGTCTCAGAGATTAATTAGTTTGTCTTGATTTTTAAACCTGACGCTGCCACATGGACGGGCGATTGGTGACATCACAGTTTAAAGTCACGACTCACCGCAGCTGATGGAGCCGCTCGAACTTTAACTGCTGATTGGTTGTTTTGTCCTCATGAGAAAACAGTGAACATCGAGTCCTGAATCTGAGCAGCTGCAAGCATCAAATGTTTGATCTTANGCACCTGCTGGACGTCACTGAGGTCTTCACTCGTGACTCCAGGACGTTTAAACTCGCCGGTGGTTTGGTCTCAGAGATTAATTAGTTTGTCTTGATTTTTAAACCTGACGCTGCCACATGGACGGGCGATCGGTGACATCACAGTTTACAGTCACGACTCACCGCAGTTGATGGAGCCGCTCGAGCTTTAACTGCTGATTGGTTGTTTTGTCCTCGTGAGAAAACAGTGAACATCGAGTCTGAATCTGAATCTGAGCAGCTGCAAGCATCAAATGTTTGATCTTATTGCTTAAAAATGACTAAAACGATTAATGATTTATCTTATCAATCACCTAATCGATTAATCCTTACAGTTCTAGAAGCAGCTACTTCCTGTTTGACGTCAGGAACCTTCTGTATTCTGATCATGTTTTTCCACAGTGTAAATAAATGAATCCAGTTCTGACCTGAACCTGGTGTGAGTCTGGCTGATGTACTGGTTCAGAGCTCTGACGTGGTATCCGTCTCCGTGGAAGTGTTTGTTGGCGGCGGCGTGCTGCAGCATGCGGGCGATGGAGCCCAGGATGTGACGCTGCTCTGGCTGCAGGGCGGAGCCGGCCGAGCGGTCCACCACATCGAAACCGTCCGGAGCCACGACGGCCGGGTTCATGTAACGATAGTAGACCAGGTTACCTACAATCTGTAGGAGAGGAGCAGAGGGGAGGACAGGTGAGTTTTTAATCAGAAGACGTGTTCTCCTGCGTCCTGTTGACGCTGTGTTGAAGTTCACGTCCAGAATATCTGATGTTTCAGCAAATTTCAGTGTCACTTTCAAAAGTAGAATCATTTTACAGGAAACTAGAGAGACACTCAGAGACTCGACGAAGGCCACAGTCAAACAGCAGACTCCAAACTTCAGGGGAAAACTTCTAATTCATCAGAAATGATCCGGTTCAGATCCAGGTGACAGTAACAGGATTCTGATGATTGTTTGTTTGTTAAACCCTGAAGGTAACAAACAGCTGTTCAGAGCTTCTGTGGAGGAACGAGTCAATCCACTTTAATCCTGAACAGTCGCTGTGTTTCTGTCTGTGACAAATCTACGCATTAGACCAGAACCTTCAGGCTTTTATTGTGAAGGAGAAGTGCACTTCGGTTACTGGGAGCAAACCAGTGAGCACTGGGCTCTGTCTACGTCCTGGAGTTTACCTTGTAGAGCTCGTCGTCGCTGGCTTCAGGAAACTTTGTCTTCAGGGCGTCTCTGAGGACCTTCGCCGTGTAACGTAAACCATACCTGCAAAACAAGACTCATCATGAACCTCTAAGCTCAGGTGGACAGGTGGAGAGGTGGAGAGGTGAACAGGTGGACAGGTGGAGAGGTGGACAGGTGGAGAGGTGAACAGGTGGACAGGTGGACAGGTAGAGAGGTGGACAGGTGAACAGGTGGACAGGTGGAGAGGTAGAGAGGTGGACAGGTGGAGAGGTAGAGAGGTGGACAGGTGAAGGCTTACGGCAGTTTGTGGAGGTTGGAGGTGATGGCTTTGAGGACTCTGTCCGTCAGGTTCTTCAGGTTGATGATGGCGATGTCGATGCGTCTCTGAACTTCAGGGTGAGACAGAGCGTCTTTAGCAGAGACCTCGTAGGGCAGGGAGCTGCAGGGACAGACAGGTGAGACGGACAGGTGAGACACTCAGAGATCTACAGGTGTTCAGATGAGTCTGTTTAAGCGGTCTTCTCTGTTCAGACCTCTTGTGTCCGGTCTGGGTCTCGGTCTGGTTGATCCAGGTCTTGTAGACTTCCACCGGGTCTGTCCTGATGCTGAGGGTCCGGTCCTGCAGCACGTCCTGCAGCGCCGGACCCAAGGCCTCGCGCAGGGCGTTGTGACCGCGAGCGTGACGGTAGAAGTTCACCAACATCTTGATGACGGTGGGGTTACCTGTGACCACATCCTGAGGCTGCTCCACCTTCAGCCTGACACACACACGCACGCACGCATGCACACACACACACACGTTACTGATCATTAGTCTAATCTGGACTGTTCTGTCCTCTGATGTGTCTCAGGTCAGGATTTTTTTATTAATTTACACTTTATTTCAATGTATCAGTGTGTATAACAGTGTGTATAACAGTGTGTATAACAGTGTGTATTACAGTGTGTATAACAGTGTGTATTACTGTGTATATAACAGTGTGTATTACAGTGTGTATTACAGTGTGTATTACAGTGTGTATAACAGTGTGTATAACAGTGTGTATTACAGTGTGTATTACAGTGTGTATCAGTTACCTGATCTCGTATCTCAGAGCCTCAGTGAACAGCTGCAGCAGCAGGAAGGCCTCCCTGCGGTCGGAGCCGTAGTTAAACAAACTAAACACCAACATCTCCATGAAGGAGGTGGAGCGACTCTGAGGCATCAAGAAGATCAGCTGAGCCAGGTACAGAGGCTGGGTCTGACACACACACACACACACACACACACACACACACACACACAACACACACACACACACACCACAGAAACAATAGTGTTTTACTGTTGATGTGGTGAAGGGGGGGGGGGGGTTCCACACAGTCTGTTCTTCAGAAGGCAGATTCACCTGCAGCAGGTAGAACAGGTGTTGGTAGGCCTCCAGTCTCTCCCTCCTCCCTCGGCTCAGAGCCTTCAGCCCTTTACTTCTCTCCACGTCCATCATGTCCGACAGCTGCTCCTTGTTCTTCTTCGTCAGTTTCTTACAGTGAGACACAACTTCCTGTTCAGAGAGAGACGGTTCTGTTGACGCCATCAAGGACACAAACGAGACAAATACTACACGGACCATAA